AGGCGGGGCATTGGCATGGTGAGGTCCCGCAGCTGGTCCGGCAATTTGTAGATCTCTAAAGTCCCTTCCATGATTTCCGTAGCTCGGTGGCAGGTCTAATGAACTCTGGGAGCCGACATCCTGGCGTTCGCGAACTGGGCCATCTTCATGATAGAGTGGTGTTGCTTCTATATCTCGTCGATTTTGTCGCGCAATTTCTTCTGGACTAAGAGTTCGTCCACCACTCGGGCTCTGCCTCCTCCCTGAGCCTCCTCCTGTAGATTTTCTAGTTTCTGCAGCTCGAACCCGTTGATCTCTCTCTCCTTGGAGCCGGTCCGCTTTTCTCTGCTGCTCAATTCCAGCTGTAAGAGCAGATGTCGTCGGGACTGGATTCACCACCCGGCGGGCGTTTTCGACTTGACCTCGATCAAGCTGCCCATGAACATCTAGACGATAATAGTTGTCCGCTCTGCAATGTTTGTATTTTGTGACTGGTTTCCCAGTCTTGTCGAGTTTCCCATCTATAGAACGTACAAGTTTGTTCTTGCTGTTAATTCTATATGTAGTGATCTTGTCACCATCTGCGTCGTACTCGCCTTTGCCCTCTAGGTCTCTCTTCAACCTCCCGGTTGTTCTATCCTTGTTGTAAGTATCATGAGAAGGCATTTTGTTATCGATTTCTTCTCTGCACTTGTTTTGATGATAGGATTGTACTGGAACTTTGTTCTTGTAAGATCGGTTGATGAATTTGCTGATGATGTATGTATTGTGTATTTCATTAGTACTTTGAGAGCTTTATATACCTACTGAGATGTTGGCAAATCTATAACTAGTGATATCTTTGAACTTCTTGAATTTTGCACTTGTTCGCCATTGGACTGCAATACGCCGATATTGCGGTCATTGCTATGGTTGTGAGAGGAACTACCTGTTTGCCTAGGGCCATGAAGCTGGTCGGTCATTTCTCATATGGCCAAACTTTGGTCGACATGAATCAAAGATCAATGCTCGCAATGGGTGGGCCGGGTGATACGGTAAGATTTAGACTACACAACAGATACCTAGAGAGCAAGTTATTGAAAACTCCAAACGAATTATCTGTAGGTAGCTCTAAAGCCTATTGTTAATTCAAGTTTAGATATAAAGAGTCTATTATCAATTTCAACTTAAAGTTTATATCAGATCTATATTAGATATAGAATTGGTATGATAGGTAGAATCTTTATCAAATTACCTACATAGTAGAATATCTATCTGTAGATTATCACTAGGCGTACATTATCTCTGTGCAGCCTAGTTGGATTGATTTAAGCATGGGTTGGGTTGGGCCGGATAATACGGTTGGATTCAGACTACACAATAGATGCCTATAGAGCAGATTACCTATAGGTATTTCTAAGGCCTACTATTGATTCAAGCTTAGATGTATACTAGATAGATTCCATTATTAATCTAAACCTAAAATTGTATTAGATCATTACGAAATATAGAATAGGTAGGTAGAATCTTTAATAAATTACTTCCAAATTCGACTAGCTACTGATTACTAATATGCGCAGAATATTATTGTTCTGCCTAGTTGGATTCAGCAAACCATGAATTAGACTGGACTGCAATATGAAACAGGGACCCGTGATTAATTGATTTAGGCTGGCTTTTAGCCTGAGAGTTTCGTAGGTTGGATATGTATTGAATTGTTCTATAAATTCTGAATTCTAGTTTCAATTTCCAGCTTCCAATTTAGGGTTTTAAATCGAATTCGGATTTCATTTTACCAAATGATTAACCACGATTTCCTAATTATAGATATCTATTAATGGGTAATTTGATCCAAACTTGGGTTACATAGATTAGGCCATAAGTGATCTAATAGTTTGTCTTTTTCGAACTGACGGTTTGAATTAGATTTAGCAAAAGTACGAAACCTACTCATTGCGAGCACTGCTAAAGACTCCACCTAGTGAAGGGAGAATGACATAGGTCATCTGGAGCTGGGATACATCTAGTTCCTAGAGGCCCATATTATAAGGCCATGGTTGTATCTAAAATATAACTACTATACGATTCAGAAAGTGGTCGCCGAAGATGACCATATTTCTTATACAAATCGATTCCAACATATCGCAGACCAATTTAGCAATACCTTGTCTATATACCTGATTTGCAATTAATCAGATAATAAGTGTATATGTTCGTAGTGGTCTAAAACTTAGAACCTTTTTTTTTTGCTGAGGGTACCTAGATAACTGATATGAAAAATCCACCAACAAGCATTAAGAAAAATCATATAATAACAAAGAAATGGTAGAGAAAGATTCAAAAATTCTAAAGCTGAATGAAACACATAGAGTAGAACATTCCTAGGAATGTTAGTCCCAGAGGATGACCTATCTTCAGCGCCCCCGATTTTGTGGTTACACTAGTTGCAGTTGGTGATGAATATTCTGCAGACTACTGCAGATGAAGAAATGCTACTGCCCGTACCAGTACTCGAAACAGAGTCTATAGTACTAGTTCCACTATACGAAATCGAGGTTGCGGATGTAGTCATCGCCATCGCCGAACTCAAAGTTGTACTCTCAACAGCCTTTCCACACTGCTGCAATCTTTTCCATCCATCCGCAAATTCAGCTGCCCACCAAGTTCCGTAGTATAGCAATAAATACCATTCCTACAAATTAGCTAGCAAACTTGAGTCGGTATGAAAACTATAGTTACGCCCACTTGGAACCATATCTCGCAAGTGTATATTAAAATACTTAGGCAACAATCTCTACCGACACGAGATCTTCAGAAGGAGTTCCTCTTACATACTCATGCGCAGCATCACCATCTGCAGTGCATGCCTCTTGAATACCCTTAAGAAATGCATCTACAGAGTCAAAGCAAGTTGATGTGCAAGTGTTCTCAAAATCTGTAGAGGTAGGTTTGAAAGTAGGTTGCTCAGAAGCAGCAAATCCTAATAGCGCATCATCGCAATCGATATCAGCACTATAGACAGCTACCCAGGTATACAAGCTTGAGAAGTGGCGTTTGCGAGATCTTTAGCAACGTAATCTCAATCTTGATCAGGAGTATTGAGATTGAATGATGTGTTGACAATTTCAAAATGTTGTAAGGAAGATAGAATTAGAGAGTGGAGTGTATTTCATTGTGATGTTGTTGTTGGTTATACCCGATTTAATAACGTGTGTTCAAAACGTGACTTTTTTTGATCTAATCAACTTTTTGCTAAATCCCATATTAAAATAATTCAATTGCTTTTAATTCAATTAATATAGCTTCAAATTGAAAAAACTTTGTATTATAATATAAATCTCAATTGATAAAATAAAAAAAATAAAATATGAATTATTTTAATTAAAAATTCATTGGATTGAAGATGATTAAATGAAATTATGATTTTTGATATAGTTTTTAGGTTTTTGAATTTTCGAAATTGAATTTTTATTTAATTATTTTCAATTCAATAAATTTTTGATTAAATCTATTCAAATTTTGTTTATCGATTTATCAATTGAGATTTATATTATGATATAGAGTTTTTATAATTTGAAGCTATATTTATTGAATTGGATTTTTCAATTTCAAAAATTCGACTAGGTAATATTCGAAAAAGGTGCTTTTTTTGGAAACACGTTATTAAATTGAGTATATTATAGGGTACGAAAGCTTATATATTAAGGTTATTAATTATAGATTTACGAGTATAACTCATAGAAATATAACGAAAAAGACTAACAAATGTAAAAAAAACGAAAAAAGTCGCTAGTTTACAGAACAACAATCAACAGAAGTAGAAAAGCAGAATCAAACCATTAATTAAGCTTTAAAGAAGAAAACAAATTAATAGAAGATACCTACCTAGTATATTCAACAGTCTTGGCATGCCGTACCGTACAAAAATGGTCCGGGTGTGACGACTGCCTGTTAATTAGTACCAAAGTACACAAGCGCTTTAAAACCCCTGGAGTTGTTAAATTAGAGTTATGTCAAATATATTACAAGATGAAGTCATTCATCTTCCCAGTGCAGCGAGCAAAAATGGCGTTTGGGGGCTTGCACTCATAACAAGAGAGGTAAGATGTGTGTCGCTCCGCTGGCTCTCCGAGGGCCACTGCCGTGGAGGCAGACTATAGCTATTATAACATGCCGAGAAACACAACCGATTCATCCATAGAGATAAGATGAGAGTATCTCGTTACAAAGAGGGATCAAATGTATTAAAACCTGATTATTCTCGAATAATTCCATATCCTAGCATCGAAAATGGTGATATTCACCTTCTACCACTTGTGTCCACACTGATAGCTCAGAATACAAGATAAAACACCTCCAAAAAGTCATCACCACACAATCACCACTCCTCCACACCCTCGACCTTCTCCAACCATAGAACATTTCCATCCATATCTCAACGACATCTCCAACATATCCCACATCTCAAGGCCCTACGCAAATCGACCTCTCCCTCTCTACACCGAACAAACCCCTGCAGAACCCCTCCAGAATTCGTCTCCCCTATCTGGGGGATATCTAGCATACCCAAAATATCCCTCAAAACTCCCACTCTCATCAAGATACCGAATGAAAGCTTCAATTCCAGCAATATCCTGACCCTCGCCCGATACGCATTTGAAAAATCAAAGCTCATCTTCAAAAGACACCACAGTCAAATAAGCGATCGAGCAAGTGACTTATCAAAAAAGTCGACCATTCTCCAGAAATATGGATAGATTCTGCGTTCTCGTCTTCTCTCATAACAAAGTAAGAGAAAATCCTGACACCAGGTCTTCCAACCCAATATCTATATGCCCAAGAACATGCAACTATCCAATACGGATGCCAATGACGACGGTTTAACAATCGACATAGCCACTATAATGACACACTTGTATATACCTCTGGAATCGCCCACCTCTGTATTCTCTTCTCAATCATCCCCCCAATTATTGTACCACCAATCCAGCGCACCACAACCACTGCTATCAATTGACGAATTCACTTTACCGGCACCCCATTCAAATAGCTTTGACCTTGTTATCCATAGCTTTCCTTCTCAATCTCAATCTCCAGCGCCTCCGTTCCCACCTTCGCTGTGCTACAAAAAAATTTCTGTCCTCTTTCGGAACCCGCCAGATCCAAGCCCCAACCAGGGTTACAACCTCCATTACCTCTTTCTGTCTCTTCTCCATTTCCTCATAACCCATTTCAGCTTCCGCAAAGGGTCTCGCGAGCGAGTATTTCGATTTCGTTCGAGATTCTTCGACTTGGAATCGAGGATATGGCACCAATAGTTCCAAGCGAGCGATCTTGGAACGGCAATAAGGGCATCCATTAGGAGGAGCTTCTTCTTCGCTTTTAGTCCATCGAATAATGCATGTTAAGCAGGTATGTTTATGACCGCAGGGTATAGTGGCCACGGGCGTATAATTAGGTCCGTAACAAATAGCGCATTCATCAGGCTTCTGTGGCAATGGTTATTCCGGTTAGCATCTGCATTATGATTTGATTATGCATTTTAAAAAAAAAGATTGAAATTCGCAGATGATTACTTACCGATAGCCGTGGTATTTCATTAAGTGGTGGTAGAATTTTCAATGCTGCCCCCCCTTCATCTTCTGGGTGCAGTAGTTTCGAGTAGTGTGGGGTTTGGTGGTCAAGTTGACATATTGGGCAACATGAGGTAGCATGGCTTTCCTGAGTTATCAGAGACAAATCCATCTCAAAGATTTTCAGACATGCTTGACTCAGAGGATCAGACTTCTCACGCAGCCTTCCAACCATTTCGAAGAAATGTCTCCCGGGTTGACCTTCAAATATGGGACTGCGTGCAAACAATTGCATTTGCTGTGACAAAGTATAAGCTTTATTTTCCGGTGCTGTAAATTGAATGTCACTACGCATCGGGTAAGAGTTCACTACTTACGCAAACCACGTGAATACAGAAGCAGAACATTTCGCGCACGGCTTTAACCAGCGCAGGATCTGGAGACCAAATTTGTACACCCAAGACCGAGGTGCATCGAGATAACAAGCGTTCCATATGTTCACGTTGGGACTTCAAAATACTGTACGACAACACATTGAGTTTCCTAAAATCTCTTAGCTTTCTAAACTCATGTGCATATATATAGGGATTCCCTGAGGGTCTAAAGAGCGACTTGGATATCTTCTTACAAAAACGTATTAGCAGAAAAAACTTATTAGTCAGAACATCATCGTATCATGAATTAGACTTACTAGATAAGGCTCCGCATCCAGTTCTTTAGATTGGTAGAAGAATTGAAGCTCAGATGATAATCTGAGAAAAGGAGTAAGGATGATCGGTTTCGACCGTGGATTCGAGATGGAATAATTTGTCTCGAAGCCGGGAAGTTCGAACGGGGTATTGACGAATGCGGTAGCCATCATAAAGTAAATGAAGTGGGAGAATAGTGGGAGAATTAAATGTTATACCTTGTTAAAGCAAAGTATGAAGAGCGACTTTATCAAGATGGCAATAAACAACATGGGGAAGAAACGAATTCGGAAAAATCAATGTGGGTGATGATGAATGACGTTTAACGGTCTATAGTGAAGACTCCCACTAACCTCGACCCTAAATGAATCTAAAAAAATCTGAAATCTGTCATCACCTAGGTAGGTAGGCTCATCAAGAAGTAATCAAATTAAACTAAACACAAACCGACCAATTCTATTGGGTAGATTAGAGATGTCAGAAGCAGTAGGTATATGAATATGATTTTGTTGGGGCAAAGCAGAACGAGGGCTTCTCTATCAAAGGAGAATTGCAAGAAAAATGCACAACAATTACTTGAAAAGTCAAGTAGTATGATGCGAGTAATGGATAAGTAACTTGCTTCGTATCTTTCTTGATATTGAAGGATTGAAATGACAAAGCATTGACCAGTCGAATTATTTAGGAAATTTCCTCGATACCTCAACTCGTGTGGAAGTATGGATATGGATATCAGATAATCTTGCGGTAAGTAGGCATGCTTCTTTATGACTCTCATCTCTCTCAAAATTCTCACTCACTGTCTATGAAGCCTAGAACATCTGCAATGACAAATATTCAGGAACCAATAGCTAAAAACGAATAGCTTCATAGAGTCACTACTAGTGAGGTGAAGTCTATACTCCGATAAATTCGCGAGAATACTCATGGGAGGTCTATACAGTTAATACCCGTAGACCTCAAAGTATTGTTCACAAGCTGTGAAAGGTGCTAAGGAACAGGAAGCCTCATAGAATTATAATGAAATAATCGAAGGCGAGAACTTCACCAGCTCTTCTACTTTGTCCGAGAAGATACCCACCAGAAAAACATAACGATGCCTAATCAAAGCCGACCGCCACGACTCGAAAAAGACAAACGTTCCAGCAATATCCCTTGTATATTCATGGCAGAGATTCGAAATCTACGACAGATAATGGAGTATCGATAGCAGTCGGAGTTTGCAAATTCGAGGACAAGTAGGGAAAATCCACTGCGAGGGTATTGGCAGTTGGCGTTGCAATTATTGCTGATAATGCATCATAAAGGCCAGTTTTGGAGGAGATGATCGATAAATCGCCTTGAAACGTTCGAATGTATATGCCGATACCTCACTTCGAACCCATCTCGAAATACCCTTCATATTTAAAAGTACCACTGAACAGGACGCCATCTGCGACCGTCTTTCGCGCACAGCCAAATCCTAAGGAGAACACAGAGATGAGAAGCTGCTTAGATATTTTCTCCTGGCAGAAGGGCAGGCCATCGTGAAGGATAAATAGTTGGAGGTGCGCGAGTTCATAAATGTTTGGGGATATCCGGGCTCTTGAGCGATTTCAAACTCGACGGTCTCGACAATCTCGACGTGTAACGCTTCCTTGAGATCGGACAGAGCTGAATGTTAATTAATTGATTAGCATTTTCAACTCTTGCCTACCTATGCAACCCTTGAACAGAGAGTATCCTCAACAATAAAATTAAGTCTGGCTGATCATAATATATCAGTTGATGATTTAAATTGAGAATAAGGCTTTCCGTCCAACATCTCAATCCTCAACTTTATAGATTCACAAGGTAGAGATAATAGCTCAGACACAGATTGATCGCAACCATTTGTAGTGGGCGAACGTGTATATGTAAATGTTCCAGGTAATCGGTATATAAGTTGATCACGGTGACATGACTTGGTGGTTTCGTGTTCACATCTTGTTGTTGTCGTTGTCTATCTTTTCGCCTAAAGATTCTATAAATTCTCGACTGGTGTATCGCGGCTATTGCTGCCTTCCTCCTCTTCTCCTCTTATATAAAATGGTGATGAGTTATTGGACCACCAGATCATCCGAGCCATCCACATCCACCCCATCCCATTACTTTCATCCCTACCTTCCCTCCAGCATCCCTACTATCGACCAATTCTAGCCCACAGATTGTATGACCATTGATGACAACCATGGCAGCCATGGCAGCCATGACCATTCTGACAACCTTACCCAGTCTCTGAACAAATAAGATCGTGGAGGAGCCTCATACTTCTTCAAATGTTGCATATGCAAGTGTTACATATCGTGTGACTCGACAATTTATATTTGCTCTGTTGTCAATTCTTTTTCTAGAACACGGATCCCATATATATTACCTACATACATGTCTAGTACGCACCAAGTGCCATACAAACAGGAAGAAGATTCTCGGATGCGGTATCCTTCGGCTGAAATGTGTTGTTCTTCTACCACCCACTGCATACCACCTACCAAACGTATACCGACAACCTTACATTGATCCATACTTATGATTAACCTTACCAAAAGCACATTTCATGATACGTACCTACACTTTGTACGAAAGGGATGAAGAAGAATTGTTGAGAAATATATCAAGATACTCTAGAAATCTAGAATCCAGAAATTAATTGTCACGCCATATGTTCGATTCCAATCCAGATCCAAAGTACCCCATTCCAAGTGAATCATTATTTGACGGGAAAAGCCTTGTTGTAACAACTTTGGGTCTCCAATTCTTCAATTCAATATCTACGCAAGTTACATCGATTTGATAGATATCCAGCCTCATTATATTTCCTTCTTTACACCGACTTCACTTCATTCAATCTTACCTACCCCCCGAGGTCCTTCTTGATTGATATACATATCGTCTCTTGTCAATTTGTCATTGATTCTTCTATATTGAACCCCCCCCTCCCCCAAACCACGCCTAATATAAAACAGTGTTCGATCATCGATTATCGATTATCGAATATCGAATTTAAAATTGAATCCTCAAAACATCTGATTGTCGACCTCACATGAACATTCGAAGCACCTGAGTGTCGAATTGAACTTGCTTTTTCCTTCAACTTGATTGCTATTCCGAATCAGGGGCAAACTTTGACCTTTCAAGCCAAACATACCTCACTCACACTCACCTGACATCTAAATCATCGTCTCTCAACCTTCAGCAAGAGTGATCCGATTCGGACTATGGACATAAAAAGCAATACGGCAAACCACTGAAAATAGAACCGTACTCTAAACCCTCTTACTTTGATATCGAGGAGTAATTTAACGTATCCATCAAATCAAGTCTTGATGCAGTATTCTACTACCTTGTGTCAATATCCTTTCATCAATACGTTCACAAAACCTCCTTGAACCATGGACATCAATCAACTTCCACCAGAAATAATCCAATGCATTGGCGACCACCTTCGAAGAGCTCCACTAAACGCCTTGATCCAGACCTCCAAACGCCATGCGAAAATTTTAACATACCTTCTCTATCAAAAAGCTTTCCGTCGTCACTTTCGTCCAGCTGTAGATAACGAACCAGAACCGAGAGCAAGGTCAATATGGGTCTACAGTCGAGGGTCGCAGTTATGTCTCTCAACGACGTCTATGGGCCTGTGCCCCTCATTGGGAATCCGAATATGTGATGAATTATTTCAACAATCGATCGCTGGGATGGGCACAAACTCGTTTTGGGGGAAGAGAAAGAAATGGTGCTACTTGGTTACATCTCCTAGCCGCAGCTGGTCATGAAAGACTTTTGAAGATGTTCATTGCCAAAGGTCTCGATATCAATGCACGTGACTGGGCAGGGAATACAGTTTTACATTCTGCTGTCGCGGCTGAACAACATGGATTGATTGATTTTTTACTTGAAGAGGGTGCGGATGTTTTGGCTATCAACTCATTTAATCAATCAGTGTTGGTTCATGCTTTGATTCGATATAAGATAGGGGCTTTGATACCGATCATTGATGCTGTGAAAGCACAAGGTGGAGATCTTAACTACAATGCCGATGGAACAGGACACCCGCCAATATTTCTGGCTACAAGAACAAATGAAGCACTTCCAGTTGTTAAACACTTTTTGGAGAATGGAGTCAGCGTTTTTCAAATACTATCAACGGGGACGGGTAATCATGATACTCTCCTCCATTGGGCTGCCCGTTTCGGACATCATGAAATAGGAAACTTCCTCGTGTCTCAAATGACTAGTCGACCAGGATTTATCTCATTACTCAACGATCGCCACATGGCTCCCCTCCATTTCGCAATATGTCGTAAATCCTTATCTCTCTCCAAAACTCTAATAGCAGCTGGAGCAAACCTCGACGACGGAGATCAAATCGGCTCCACTCCTCTCGATCTAGCCATTGACCATTGTCTATCCGGTCTCTTCCAAGAAATCTATCTCAAATGCAATTACAAAGACACCGCCTTCCAAAAATTCAAACAAGTCCTCTCCGAGAGTATCAAAGACGAAAACCCCCTCGCAATCCGACACCTCCTCGATCTCCAAGGCCCCTGCTCCATTCAATTCACCCTCCCCAGCCTCCACCACCTCATCGAAAACCACCGCAACACCATCTCCGGCTGCCAAATTATCGAGCTAATCGGAGACGCGATGCCCCCCACCAATTTCCACACGCGCTCCCAACCCCTCGGCGAAACCCCCCTGCACCTTGCCCTCCGCAAATCCCTCCACGACATCCCCATTCACAGCGACCGCCTCATCACCTACCTCCTCCTCAAAACCCGCAACCTCAGCCTCCTCACTCGCGACGGAAACTCCATCCTCCACCACGCCGCCCTCTTCTCCACTCCCAAAACCATGACGCAAATCCTCGCCCACAAAAACATCTCGCACGAACTCTTTTTCCTCGAAAATAAAGCCGGCAAGACCGCGCTCCAGGAAGCCGCCCGCAGAACAGGCAACCATCGAAAAATCACAGACGCCCTCTTCCATGCCCGCACAAAATTCGATCGTCTCCGCAAGCGCGAACGGAATATCGCGAATAGTCCGCGCAAGATCGGGAAACCGGCGGTGCCGGATCCGCCCGTGAGGAGGGAAGAAAGTCCGCAGGTGTTGAGAAAGAAAGAGAAAGAGGAGAAGGAGAGGAGAGGGAGTAATGCGGAAAGTGAAATAGAGAGGAGAGATTTGGATTCGGATAAAGGAGAGAGAAGGAGGACGACGGGATACTCTGTGATTGATGAGTTTCTTTTTTATATAGTTTTTTTGCATTTTACAAGGACGGGTTATGGAAAAGGATAGATAGATATATATGGAGATTGGAATGGAATTGGAATGGAAATTGGAATGGCAATGGCAATGGCAATGGGAAACGGAAATGGAAATTAGGAGCTGGACTGGAATCTGAACGGATGATTTACAGATTACTAGGTAACCTACCAAGTATATATTATCAATGAAAGAATAAGAGAAATGAAATATCCATTATCGATGATTTAAATTTTAGTCTTCGTTTCCTCTTCTCTCTCTTTCGCTCACTTCCTCTCACACTTCCTCTCACACTTCCTCTCACACTTCCTCTCACACTTCCTCTCACACTTCCTCTCACACTTCCTCCCCCCCTTTGTAACCTCAAACCCCCCCCCCCAAAAAAAAACAAAGAGTTCCAAATCCCAATCCCAATCCAAAAAAAAAATCACTCCCTTCCGCCCTTCCTCCCTTCTTTATCAAAAACACTCACAATAGTCACAATATCATAATATCAGAACATTCAGAATACTAATACTAATCTAATACTCATTAATTATAATATTTGATATTTTTACATATTTGATGTTACATATTTAGTTACATATGTATTTACATAGGTATTTACATATTTGATTTTACCATATTTATTTACATTTTTATGTAATGTTATTTACATATTTTATTACATATTTATTTATATATTATTTATTAAACTCAAATAACAACATAAACTAGATACATCATGAAGGTATACATACTACGTATTACTATTCACTCACTCATTACTATTCATCCACTCACCCACTTATTACCGCTCAATCCACCCATCACCCATCCACATCACCTAAACCCCTTCCCCCCTTCTCCCTCCCCCTAAATACCAAATACCAAAATCCAAAATCCAAATCTTACTGATTAACTTCAAAGCTATACCATGCCATGCCATACCATTTTATCAAACCCAAATCCATTCACCCATTTGTGCATGCATTCATTTTATTCCTCTTATTCCTCTTATCCCTCTTCTTCCACTCCACTCCACGTACCCACTCCACCCACCTACCTACCCACCCAATACAAAATATTCTCTCCCTATTCAATTCCATGTCATTTCTTCAACTATGATTCATTTATGTAGGTGACTATCAATCAATATAGATATAGATATAGATATAGATATAAATATCCATTCATCAATACTCCCCCATCCGTCCTCAAAGGACAATATCCTAATCAAATGTATTTCCCTGCTATGCAGTTCAGTCCATCCATCCCCCAACCCCCAACCCCGATTTTCCAAATACATTTGATCCCATCCCATCCAATCCATACCAGACGCCTTGGAAAAGCATGTATGTACACTATCATACAACCGCCACTCCTTGACTTCTTTCTCCGTTCTCCGTTCCCAATTTCCCCGTGATTTCTCATGTCCTCCAAACCAAACCACACCCTCCCTACCAAGAAACCGGTGTTTCCCTCGCCCTCGCATCAAAATCTCCCTTCTTCACCCCCCTAGTTCCACACCTCAACATCGCCCACCTCCTCTCAAGATTAAACCACATTTCCATAACCATCACCCTCTTCTCATCCGGCACCACTTGCTTTTCCGATTCCTCTCCTTTAACATATGGATCCAGTCCCTCTTCCTCCACATTCATAATCCAATTTCCAACTCCCGCACAAAGTCTCGAATCCCACATCCCTTCTCTCCTATGACTCGATGTTAAAAGACTAATTGCTTCTCTCCTCAATCTTCTATCTCTCGATTTCGTCGCCACAACGAATAATGGCGGAATGATACCAAGATCAAGTGCAAAAGAAGGTTTAATATGCGAATAGGTTTCATGCGAATGTTTTCCATCAGGACCAGGACTTGGAGAAGAACTCGTAACCTTAACTCCAAATGGCGTTCGCATGCCCCTTTTAATTCCCGGACCAGAAGTGACATGTTTACAACCTGCTCCACACCGTGCTTGTGCCAATGCTAATTCTTCATCCACGATCAATTCCTTAGCTAATTCGTTGATCTCGGTGAATATAGGAAGAAATTGATCAAAATCCATTTCGTTGGCGGAAAACGCGGTAAAGACCAGAATTCGTGTCATGATACATGTCATCTGAAGAACGATGATACCCGCCCTTTCAATATTTGAAGTACCAGGCGCACGGCGTTTAGCAAGAAGAGGGGCGAATGTTGTTTGCCATTGTTCGAGAGAACGACCGAAACCGTATCCGTTGGATTTTATAGAGGCGGGAAGAATATTATTGGATACGGTGTAGAAACCTACTAGCTCCTCATTATATCTCATTATTCTTTCACACAAAGCATCGAGTACTAATCTTGCCTCGTGAATGTTTGGAAAGCTTTCGGGAATGGGTGCTTCGATTGAGGCGGTTGTGCCAGTTGAACTATCGGATGGACTGGGTGGATTTGCCAAACTAGGATCTCGAGAAACGTGATATCTCCAATCGAGATTCGTAGGAGAGCTGGTTGTGGAAGGAGAGGGCGGTCCGGATTGTGATGCTACAGGATTAGCGATACTTGGATTGGTAGAGAGACGAATAACCCATGGAGCTGGAAAATGAAACGCCATATCGTATGATTTGGCTTGAATGGCCATGCGTGTAAACATTTGTCCCAACTCTTCCTCCACAATATCATCCTCGCGCTGAATATACGGTTTCTTTCTTTCCCTGCGTTGTTTTTCCATCACTCCCAATCCTACTTGTACTTGTTTAATAGCAGCCTTATGATCCCCCACAAACGATTGAAAACAAGTGAATAACACGCTCGAAATCAAAACCGTTCGTTGAGATCTAACTTCATTATTCGAGATGCTCTGGCGCATGCGCGTAACTGCTTTTCCATATTGTTCCCAAGCGAAACTCCAATGCGTAGGTGCAGAATCGCTGCTCGAAGTACCCTGATTAGAAGGGGTAGGAGAACTCGGAGGGGATTCAGCGACTTTTTCTAATGTTTTGTAGAGAGCTCCAAGAGCTACAACAGCATGACGTATGGATGCTTCAGAATGCGATTCTTGAAGAACACTACGCGTCCAGAATTCTGAGTCGAAGAATCCAGATAATTCGCTGGCGGTATGAGTGCGGAAGACTTGGAAGTATTGACCTTCCTTTGCGTCGAATGGAAGACCGAGAGTGGGTGGTCGAAAGATCTCGGAATCAATTTCGATGGAATTGATGGTTGATGGTGTGAGGATCGATGGTGTGGTAGGTGATATTGGACCGATAGATCTTGCTTTATTGATAATACGAGCTGTTTTCCTAGGAATGAGTGCAGTCGAACCAGGTAAAGCCGGTGTTATTATGGTGTTGTGGGATGGTATTGAGTGCGATTCCAAGCCAGCATTACTCGGTCGAGGAGCAATTGGGAGAGTATTATTGGCATGTCTATTTCTCGGATTGTACGCTGGGTAACCATCGCATCGTCTCCCCGATCTCACACATTTTGTACATTCAGGTCTCGTTTCATCGCATTTCACTCTTCGATTCCTATCAAATGAAGAAAGTTCCGTGAATTAGCCAAAGATTGATTGTCTTGCTACCACCATCATCAAATAGCGAAGGACGCGGGGAAATGGAACGCGGGAACCCCAGAATTGCTAAAATAGTTTGGAAAAAAGAAAAGAAACTCCCCAAGGAACTTACTTGCAATTGTTACATCCTGTCTTTACCTTGGGGCGACTTGCACGACGCTGCCTCACTCTATTGCCAGTCTCTGTCGCATCTGCCATGACTGTTTTGATCGAAGGTTTGTCTGCATTTCTTTGGGGAATATTTTCTAAGAATACTTTATCCCCCTTGCGATTCCGAGCAGCGCCGCAATGCAACAGGACGGAATTTGTCCAGGATTAATTCGGAGGTTTCTTCGTCTTATGGTCAGATAATAGAGTCAAAAATGGGCGGTTAAGGAGAGAGTGTGGGAGAGAGAGAGAATTGCATAGGGATGAATAAAATAATATTAAGATCGGCTCGGATCAGGAAGATCAGAGCAATTCAAAGTTCAAAGTTCAAAGTTCAAAGTTCAAAGTTCAAAGTTCAAAGTTCAAAGTTCAGATTGATTAAAGATTGTTAAAGATATCTCCAATGATTGAAATAGAATGAATGAATAGGCAGAATTTATAACACAAGAACACGAGGTTGTACGATTTCGGTGAGATGGTCATGAATTATATCAAGTAGGTAGGTAGGTAGGTAGGTAGGTAGGTAGTTATTGTTTAAGACTTTGAGACTTTGGGACTTTGAGAACTTGAGACCTTGAGATGCAAATTGTATGTATCTATGTATGTATGTATGTATGTATGTATATATGTGTGTATTAGATGAGTGTAGTTTACTCAAGCGCTGAAGAATGTGTGAGAATGTGAGATGAAGGGGGAAATCATCCACCCGAAATCTTGAGATTTCTCCAGATTCGTTAATGATAATGACAATCCCCTCTCTGGTGTATAGTATGACGAGTGGATGAGATGATCAACTTATGTCAAGGAAGGTAACCAAAAAGTACTTGGTAGACTGTAGAGTAAGAAATGCGATATACACTGTCTGCAATGAAATTTAAGAATAGAATGGAAAGAATGGAAAGAAGGATCGAGGTGCGATGGGTTCAAGGAAGATACTGGGTATCTAGAGGAAATATGCAGCTATACATGCAGCTATACCGATAAAATTATTAGAACCTCGGCACCTTTCCCCTTAGAACCAATCATATTGTTCGATCGTGTGCTCACTCAGGAGACTAGGAAACCTTGGATGCAGCATTATGGTCTGTAGACTGTAGTGCAGTCTGTAGGTACGTACTCCTGCTTTTTTCACTCTTTCGATTCTTCATAATCTCCATTTTAATTCCATTCCTCTCCTCTCCTGTCTTCCTCCCTCCTCTCGTTGTCTCTCATCTCCTTCTCCTTAATCATCGATACTTCATACCATTAGTCCAGGTGAAAAAGAGGAATGGCCAGACAATAGCTATGTCCTTGTGTATCCCAAACCTTACGACTCTAAGCCTGAACCTTGTGAAGATCTTCTTACAAGTACCAATTACTACAATCCGTTGATCTGTGTTGCAAGCCAATGAGAGTGCTGGTTGGGCAAGATACGGTTGACCTCTTCCATCGTAGCTCAAGCACGAGTCCAATAATCCTTACACACGATTCATGAGGATTGGTCTTGAATCTCGATACATATCTTGATACATAACTTGAAGGGAAGAAAGGATCAGGCGGTATCTGGGATATCTCCGTCGACGATATTCCTCTTTCTTTTCGGCGTGGAAGATACCCTCACTCATAAGTTAATGAAATATCGCTCGCTCACTCCCGGCATCACAAAACTACCGTAAGCACCACATCATCTTGCTTGACCTACTTATGACCTACTACTCTATCTGAAAAGAGGCTAGAAAACGCGGGAGGAGGATGCTGTAAGCTGTGATTGCGGGCAAGAATCGGTATGACGTGGTTATTTAATCTTTCACAGGGCTGAAAGAATGTGCTGATGCTGATGGCCTGAACGATTAGGGCTGACTGTCATGTCAGCATGCATATTGAAGGAGACGAATCATGAGATGAGTTTCGTTTAGATGTAGATTGAAAGTAAATTTGATGCGAGATGTACATCTATGAGTCGTACGGGAATGAAATGAAGGGGGAAGGATATGGGGAAAGATTGGAGAAATACCTCGCAACTCAAACGTTGCTCCCGAAAATGTAACGTTATGAAAAGCCTGGGAAAGCCTAAAGACTAGAAACATACATTATTCTACCCCTATAATCAAAGTAGAAGAAAAGCTCCCCAGGTTGTAATCCCCTTCAATACGATGCCATGCTACAACAAAATCACACGTTGTAGACAAAAATTTCTCACATTACAAAAAGATTACAAAAAGGGTCGATTAGCACTTACCACCACTGCGCAGGCCATAGAATTATACAACAGACCGAGAATGAGTAAGATAAGATCTGACGTTGTACCAGTTGAAAACAAACACCGAGGCATTACAATCTACAATATAAAGCAAAGCCCCTCAAATTCTAGACCCGATGCTCATTCCTGCGCCAAGTAGTTGCAAAAAGCTTCATGAATCGTCCAAAAAGCAAGCCGCGACGAGATTGTCTCATTCACTATACCGCTCTTCCGCAAGAAAACAGCCACTTTATGTAGCGACAATTTTGCATAGCGATCATCACATTCCGAGTCTCGAGATGCACTTGTGGCGACGAATAGAGAGGTGATAAGGTAGAGGGTCTGGGAATCATTGGTCGTGTTGCTTATTGCTTCGATGTCAGGAGCTGTAGCTACCACGCAGAGTCATCGAATCGCATCTTCCGTTCCCCAGGTGTGTTTAGTGTGCCGATGTCTTTTCTCTCTGCTTGACGTGTGGAGAGATGAGTTAGTTATGAACCCTCCCGTCCATCCCGTGCCTCCAAGATTGAAGTGCCGTCCGTATTCTGATTTATTTGTTTTGCGAGATTGTTTTGGAAGTGTGAGGGGAAGTTCGAAAAATGTGTGCTCAGGCTTAGGACGGAAAACTGGGACTCTAGAACACTCCTTTCAATATTCGATCTCAATTCGGGAACTCCATTATTCTGCTGCAGACATCGAGTGTATGTATCTATGAGCCTTCATATAATATACTTTCCACTTCATTTATTTCTCAATAAACTAGGTAAGTGATATCATCAGAAATCCTTTCGGCAATATAAATGTTTTCAATATATGAATCGAATTGATTGAGTATATCGCTTTTTTCATCCATGTGGAACTAGCTATCCACCTGTCTTGATACGAATCGGAGGGACCGGAGAATATGGAAACGAGCATTGCTCTTCTCCTGAAAAGAAGAATGTAGAAGAGGCTTTCAAGTTTCAATCAATATACACCCCTTCCCGCTTATATTTGGGGGAGAAAACTCTAAATTTCGTAGACAATGTGTTCCACCTTCTAAATCCGTTCTTTTGTAGCGATAGCAACAATGATATAGGTAGTGATAGTAATATGTATTTGGAACGATAAGCCGCAAAGGCTTGCAATGGTAAGCATTGTCGAAGCCTGCAAAGACTCAAAATCAGCTGTTCTTCACTCCTCGTCCAATGACTGCTCACTAGTCACTCTGACATTATGACATGCATTAGATTGTGCCGTAGCGTGCTATCGTACATCTATCGGTTTGTTAGACCTCCCCCAAACCCCCATGTGAAGATGCGATTTGTCGACGACAGTTGCACAATACATGGGTTCACATTGTTCTAACCAACCATTGATTAACTTTCGGACGTCAATGTTGACGTGGAAACATTAGCATCTCGATGTATGTATGTATGTTTCTCGCAAGCCTCATCGCATCTCGATCTTTGGTGGTTGATCCGGTGCAGGCTATTTTCACGTCTAAATCTAAATATACCTAGGTATCGCATGCTGTATGACTTTTGGTGTTTGGTTTGGGGTTCTTGGGTAGAAATCCCAGTGAGAATTCTTAGGAAAATATAATAATAAATAGACCTTCGGTGTTCCAGTGCCACGGTTAAGATAATCATGGTACGCCTAAAGTTCGGAGTCTAGGGTTTTATCCATATTACTTTTAGACCCCGGGTGTGGCCTCGGCCTTCTAACCGTTATTCTAGAAGAGGATTAATCGGCGAATGCTTTTGTTTTAATCTATGTTCGGTATCTCTCTTCAACGATGTTTCAAAGGGCGATTATGACTTCTCAGCACGCGAATTGCTGATTAGTTGTTTGCACTCTTGACTCCTTCAAATACTCCCATGGATAAACCTTGGCTAATGAACTATCGAATGATCATAGACATTAGTTTCGTAACTTTCTACTCTTTTGAGTGAATCGTGGATTCGTGGCAGCGTTCTCATCTCATCTTCCTTCCCGGCGATCATCTGTCACCTCACATGGTCACCCTGTTGGATACCTAGGAGGAAAGTCCGAATGTAGCTCATATACTCTTACTGGTAGCAAAACATGCTTGCATGTGTAAACCTTATCGAAGTTCATTTAATGTATCTTAACTTATCCCATCGGAAATTCCATTATCAAGCTCGTTATCCCTCGTTGCCCCCTTGTCTCGTTTGATTTGTTTCGTCACAATTTACCTCTTGTGAATTTTATATTGACTGAACATCTCTCCCCGGAAAGAGGAAGATACCCCCTGTTTGTTCCCGCGGGGAGGAGTTTGTCGCTACTCCGTAGACCGTTATCAAGCACCGCAAAAACACTATCCCAGACCCATCAGATCTTGAATACGAATGAATAGACACCATACGGTAAGAAGTCTCGTGCTGTGACAACACCGCTTACGTGATTGTCCATGACCTGTATTGTGTTGATGCTTCTACTTGTTACAATATCAAAATACTCTGCGAGTTGCCTAGGTATCAAAATGTCAGATGTACATTAACCACATAATCAGATGAACCATGAACCACTAATAGCTTTAGCCTACCAGTCTCCAATGTTCTTCCTTTTTCTCGCAAACTTACCATATTCCAACAGCATAGGTCTCCACACCCAAAACTAATGCCGATTAGACTCGCAAGCGTCGCATCCAGATTCCATTCATCCATTCATCCATTCACCCCACTATGTTAACATTTCGGTCTCGCATCTCGATCTTAGTCTCTGGCACTTTTCATCTTTTTACCCAGGCATATCCGCTTCAATTTCACTCACAGGGCACTGACTGGTACCAACTATACCTAGGTACACATCTGTCACGGGATCACTTCTGGGAGTATTCAGAAGCTTTACCGCTGAGCTAAACGCCCAAAAGACTAGGAGGTAGAACTGGAAGTTCTACCTTACTCTCACATATATAGCAGGACAGGACAGGACAGGACAGGACAGAAAGGGCTTAGTGTCACCCCGTGACACCACCCCCCTCCTTAAGGTATGGTCTCCATACCATCACCTACTAGGAGGTTTCAGGATTCTGGATTCTAATGCCTCAGGCATTCAGACAGGCAGACAGGATCTATATATGCTAGCCCCCAAACCAATGAAGGCTTGTAAGCTATAAGTGGGCCCCCCACACAGCTCCACTTATAACCAAGGGT